AATTTTTGTTTCGTTGGCGACAGTAGAGCCATCTTCCTTCATCTTTATCAAGAAAAATTTTCAGATACAGGCGCTTGCTGTTTCCTTACTAACCGCCAAACAGCTTGAGGAGTACAATAAATGGGCAACGAAACGTCGCTATGTGTTAAAGGCTCGAGAGCAAGAGTTGCGTTCTTTGAGCCCCGATGCGAAGCGAGCGCTAAGAAGATTGAGCAATCAGTGTACGTTTAGTTCATTTTCAAATTGCTCTATCCTTTTTTCAAGCAAAAGTTCAATCGATTCTGGATCTAAAGGAGATAGTGATGTATCACCCGCAGAGAATGCTTGTAGCAAAGCACAATCACGATGCTTTCAAACATTTCGCTAAACTTGATAATTTCTGATAACTGACATCTAATTTAGAAGCTATGATAATATCAATACGGTCATTTCCTATTTATTTAGGACGAGAGGAAAATACTGCAATCATTCCATGTTGTGAGGATTTACACAAAATTTTCGTTATCAGTGTCCGAACTGGATGCAGAAACGAACATGGACAGATAATCAATTGCCACAGAAATCTTTTTTAAAAAAACCAAAAACTAGGGAAGCAGCTGAGCAGATCAGGGAGAAACTCGGCTTAACCCATGTGTTCACTTTTGCTTAAGTGATTCTTACGTATTTTCAATGCCACACTAAGAGAACACTTATGAAAACAAAAATGTTCATTTGCATAAAGGCAACGGAAGTCTTCTCCATGCCTACAGTAAGCTTTTATGTCTTTCTCAAACATTATTAAGGCTCAACATAGAAAGTGCACAATTTTCTTTCAATCTTTGAGAGCATCAATAGCAGGTATTGGGCAATTGTGAATAAAATAGTAAAAGACCTCAATCATAATGATACCCTACCTCACAAGTACCCTCTTTCACAGTCGTATTTATCTGCGAGAGTACCAACGGTAGCAATTATATAACGTCCTTCGGGTACGGCAGGCCCTTCGGACAAGATTTTTGTCCTGGAGTGGTTTTACTTGCCTAGGGTCCAATATGATGCTAATAAATCATTATTGTTATAGTTAAGATCGGTACAAGGGTTGTCATTGGATCTATAGAACGTGATAGACAGCTTTGCAATTCTCAGTGTACAAACCTCCTGATAATAAATACTTCAGATGCTGACACGTCGAAATTGTCTGTTTCGCCAGCTGTGAAGAGGGAACTTCGAGATTTTGTAACAGCTTTCAATCGACGACGTACTAAAGTTCGATCCTAATGCACATTCACAACATATTCTGTATAAATGGTATCAAACGCAATTTATATGTA